ATATCGTACTCTCTCGACCAGGTCATCATAAGAAAATACTGCTAAATCCTTCCGAAGTGAGAGAAGGCGCGGTACAACTAACATAACAGCCAGCTGAAAACGTTAGCTAGCTAGGCTAGCGCGCATGGGCTTTCTCTGATAGGGGCTCGCTCTTTCAAGCTCCGCCCAACTATACAAGACAAGGTGCTGCTCCTTTTCTCTCAGCCACTAGTGGCTTATGTAGTGGTCGGCATTCCTACGTGCTCCTCCTTGCCCCCTGCTTAAGAATCCAAAGGTCACTTTGGATGTTGTCGTGACGCTTTGGTTACGAAGGTTACAGGGGTCTGGGTTTATGGATGGATTCAGTCAGCGAAAGTCCCTCCAACTCAATAAATATCCAACATGTCGTGCTTAAACAACCTAAAGGCTTGGTTGATTTTGTCAGAAAAGAAAGTAGGTTTCGGGGGTTCATTGATTAGTACACCTCCGGTGCTGGTAAGGTCGGGACCGTGGTCGTCCGTCTCCGGTTTGCCGGCGATAAGATCTCTGAGATTGACCAGCCAGCTGGCTTGGTTTGGTTATTCTTTTCTATTGAAAAGGAGTCAGCTGTCTGCGCGAGTCACCTTCTTCTAGGCTCCGCTGGACGACACGGCATTATCGTTCAAATATAGGCCGGCCGTACTTGTGATGGTTCCAAGGATCCAATATGACCACTTAGGTCTACGTTGCCACGGTTCTATGGAAGCGGGCGGGCTGTTAGAAGTTCGGCCCGGTTTTTTGGTGTCGTAGGGGAGGGATTGACCTTTCTAACGCATATTCAGTCGTACCGGCATAGCCCCACTGATTTGTTTTCGATCGGAGCATCAAGCAGCGCAACCCGGTTCTACTTGACTAAGCCCGTGCTCGTCCAAGGAGGGAGTTTGCTTTACCCAACTCCCTTTTTGATAACAAGGCAGAAACCCCCGACCCGACATTCATTAGTTTAGTTTGGAATGAAGAATGAAGAGTGCCCTGCCCTAGCAAGCACCTACTCCTATCAAAAGCGAGACTTTACTACTATAATAGAGGGTAAGGCCGGCTTTCGAGCTGTAGCTTTACAACGATAGGGCTTAGATAGGGCCCTTAATTAGATTATTAGTAAGATAGGTTGCTTGAGCGCATTTTTCCCCTTTCTATTAGTAAGGTTGTCAAAAGGTATCGATCAAGGCGAAACTTGAGTTTTCAATAAGGGGTGCTAACGCCCTATCTATAGTATAGTAAGGGGGCTTTTCAATAAGGCTCGCGCTAGGCGCTCACGCTTTTTGGCTTCCCTAAAATCGAGAATTTGAAGTTGGTAAAGACCCGCCCCTTGTTTCAGTCAGAATGAGTCCCAGGACCCGGGACATTGGCTTCCGCCAATAGTGAACTATTAAGGATCGCATCCCGCGCATATTCTACATTATAGCCTGCAACTGATTCAGCTTCCGCTTCTGGGAGATCAAACGGAGCTCGATTAGTTTCTGCTAGACAAGAAATAAAGAACATAACCAATACAGGGAACAAGGGAATACCGGACCATATCTGCTTTTGCGCCATGACAATCTCACTCGAATTACGGGGACCTACACATATTAGTACAGTATACCGGGGTACCCGGTCAGAACCACACGTGCGAGTTTCCCTGCATGTGGCTCGTCCGTGCTTTCCGAGGCGCTGCCTGTGACTCAGCATGGGAGAAGGGGCGGAACTGCACACTTTCGTGTTCAGAGCATTGTCTGAGTGAGTAGGCAGCGCCTACCAAGCAAAGCTTTCTTGAAGAGGCTGGGCTGGTTCCTTTTCGGCGCCCGCCCTTTCTTTCTTTTTTTAGATGTTGAGGCAAGGCAAGCCCCAGGAAAGTATAGGTTGGCTCCCAGCTCCATCTCGGCCGGCATCCTGCTCTCGAGGGGGTGGGGTCCTGGAGCGAACTACTCATTGCTGTGTTGCCCAACCCAAGGAAGGGCATTTGGTGAGGAGCATTGTTTTGAGGGATGGAAAGCGTGGTTGACAAACCACTTCGAGGAGGCGACTGGACTGGAGTGCTTTCATCAAATGATTCATCATTGATGAAAG